ATATTATTTCCCATTTATTCAAGTTATTCCAAATCAAATAGTTTCCTAATTCACTTTTTTAATTTGGTATAACATAAAGCTGATAAAATAGAATGAAAACATAGATCAATCTCATTAAGGACAACAAAAGCACACATGTAAAAACCCTTACAAAGTATTTACATGAGTCAAGTACTGTTTTACATACTTTAAATCTTATACTTAATGATAGTAGTAGTAGCAGCACTTAAAGAGAAGGAAAGATTTAGGCAATTGGTCTCTCTCTAAACCTCCCAAAGAACTGGCCCCAGCTGATTTTAAATGTCTTTGCTTTCTCCAATGAAGTGAAATAAGAAAAACAGAATGTATGAAATTGAACTTTCTGGGAGGTATTGTTTGCTTTTAAATTACTAGGGCCACTTTTATTTTTATTGTTGCTAAGTTAAAACAGTGTGTGTGTGTGTGTGTGTATGTGCGCGCGCGCACATGCATGCATGTGCACATGCATACACACACATTGGTTCAAGGGCTTAAACTCAGGGCCTGGGTGTTATCCCTAAGCGTTTGTGCTCAAGGCTAGCACTCTACCACTTAGACCACAGCTCCAATTCTGGCTTTTTGGTAGTTAATTGGAGATAAGAGTCTCACAGGCTGGCTTCAAACCATGATCCTCAGATACCAGCCTCCTGAATAGCTAAAATTATAGGTGTAAGCCACCAACATGCAGCCAAGGTCTAAAATTTTAACATACATTTTATAAAGTATTCTCTATTAAATAATGATAATAAAAACTACTTATCAGAAAGTAACACCAAATACCATATATAACAAACACAGGGAAAGATCAACATCGTGAAAATGGCAATACTTCCCAAGGCTATCTACAAAATCAATGAGATACCAATCAATATTCCAACCTCATTCTTCAAGGAAATAGAAGAGGCAATACAAAAATTCATATGGAACAATAAAAGACCCCGAATAGCAAAAAAGGATCCTTAACAGAAAGAACAGTGCTGGAGGAATATCAATACCAAATTTCAAAACAGCTTGGTACTGGCACAAGAACAGACCTCAGGACCAATGGAATAGAATTGAAAACCCAGAAATGAACCTAAAGACCTATAGCCATCTAATCGTTGATAAGGGAGCTAAAAAAATAGAATGGAAGAAAGACAGCCTCTTCAGTAAATGGTGCTGGAAAAATTGGTTAATCACTTGTAGAAAACTAAAGCTAGATCCTTATATATCACTCCAAATGGATCAAAGACCTCGGTCAAAGCAGACACTCTGAAAACATGACAGGATGGAACAGGAGAAACCCAAGTCTCCTTGGCATAAGCCGAAATTTTCTTAATAGAGACCCAGATACACAACAAATCAAAGAAAGGTTGGACAAATGGGACTGCATGAAATTGCAGAGCTTCTGCATGGCAAAGGACATAGCTAGCAAGATCAATAGAAAGCCCACGGCTTGGGAGAAGATCTTCACAAGCCATACAACGGACAAGGGTGTCATATCAAAAATATACTGGAACTCAAAAAATTAAATCCCCCAACAACAAATTCTCCAAGAAACAACTGCCCAATAAATAAGTGGGCTAAAGACTTAAAGAGAAACTTCTCTGAAGAGGAAAGAAGGATGCCAATAGACACATGAAGAAATGCTCAACCTCCCTAGCCATAAAAGAAATGCAAATCAAACCAATATTGAGATACCACCTCACCCTAGTTAGAATGGCTATAATCAAGAATTCTAATAACAACAGATGCTGGAAGGGATGTGGACAGAAGGAAACCTTAGTACATTGTTGGTGTGAGTGTAAACTTGTTCAACCACTTTGGAAAGTAGTATGGAGGTTCCTCAAAAGACTCCACATAGAGCTCCCCTATAACCAAGCAATCCCACTTTTGGGCATTTACCCAAATGATCACAAACAAGACCATACTAAAGCTACCAGCACAACTATGTTTATTGCAGCATTATTTACCATAGCTAAGATATGAAAGCAACCCAGATGCCCCTCAGTAGATGAATGGATCAAGAAAATGTGGTATATATACACAATGGAATTCTATGTTTCCATCAGAAAGAATGACATTGTCCCATTTGTTAGGAAATGGAAAGAATTGGAAAATGGAAAATTGGAAATGGAAAAAATTATATTAAGTAAAGTAAGCCAGGCCCCAAGAAACATAGGTCCCGTGGTTTCCCTTATTTGCTATAACTAGTATATGTCTGAGTCAAGCAGAAAAGGTCAGACAAGTTGATGTTAGGGGAATGAACCCCAAGATAAGTATTCAAATGTTTTTTTTCTTTCATACAATTGTTTCTAACATATTTATAAGATTATTTCTAGGTTGCTTTGTATGTCCCTCCCCCACAGTATAACCCCTGCTTTCACTGTATTTGATGTTGGTATAATTTGTGGAAGGGAAGGGCAAAACCAAATCGTTTAACTAGGGACACAGGTGGACCCATTGCAACAATGAGATGTCCAAGACATTATGTCGATAAACGATCTTTACAACTTTGGTGGGCAGCGGGATGATGGGATTGGGAGTAGGGAAAGTATGTGAAGGGGGGGATGGGAAGGGGAAACAAAGAGGAGACAACAATGCTTGATAAGAAATGTACTCGTTATCTTGCCCATGTAATTTTAACTCCTCTGTACAGTATTCTCACAAAAAAATAAATAAATAGGAAAAAAAAACACAGTAAGCTACATGAGTTATCTGTTTAGTAAACTACTGAATTTCAAGTACCTAGAACAATGCCTGGCACTTAACAGGTACTCAGATATTTAGTGTATGAATATAAAAAAAATAAAGAATCCTGCTACATTAGGAGTAACACTGATAAGAAAATCCAAAAGACATAAATAAAAGAAAAACTATTATAATACTTATAAGCATTTGTTATGGTAAGCAGAAACAGGTGTATTATTTTTAATTAAAATTTTCTTTACACTAAACTAACCAGTTAAAATAAAATGAAAGGGAAAAACACGTGAAACTGTAACATGCAATAGAAAACTTTAACTAGAAAGGTCTAGGATCTAAGTGAAAACACATGTTCTTAGATGTAAAATAAACCTGTATGAGCAGCTGAAACACATATTAGAAAGCAAAATGAAATGCAATTAATGAACTTTTAAGTAAACTCCTTGCTAAAAGACACTTTGAAAGAATGACCACCTTTCACTTCATATAGTAAAACACTCTAGAAAACTGCCCTTGATATCACTACTACCTATTAGTATTTAGTTTATATTGCAGATACTAATTTTACATGTAGTTTTAGTTTTCACAAATGACCCAATGAGACCTGTATCTTTATCACCCTCATTTTAGAAACAAGGAGATACTGAATACCATTAACAAAAAAAAACATTTAGACAGGCATTGGTGTGCTGTAGTGGGAAAGTCATTGGCATATCATTCTGGAAAAGTATTCCTCATTCATTCACTTAATAAATACTCAACAGATAGCCAATCTTTACTAAATTCTACTCCAGATGGAAATGTGGCATTGAAAAAGATAAACATTATACATCCTAATATTAGGAGATAGAATACAACCAAAAACTAAAAGTAACTTCATAGCAAAAGGGATAAGAAAAAGGAATTAAAATAAACTAGGAGAAAAGTCACTTCTGTGAGTATTCAAGAATCCATTTAAACAATGGAATGAGCTAGAAAAGTAAAATATTTAAATATAAATTATGAAAACTAAGCTGGGAAAACATTCTAGATAAGCAGAAAAGTCCTGAGCTGGAACCAAGTATGGAATGGAAAAATAGGTCAACATTCTTGGAGTCCAGGGATGAGATATGTGAAAAAAAAATAGGTGCTTACTACAGGTACATGTATGAACCCAACAACACCACTTCTAGGACTTTATTCTACAAAGATAGCCTGCATATTTAAAAATATGTAAATCTGGGCCTCACGACTGTAATCCCACATACTCAGGAGGCTGAGATCTGAGGACTGCAGTTCAAAGCCAGCCTGAAGAGGAAAGTCCGTCCATGAGACTCTTTTTTTTTTTGGGAGGGTCCGGTCATGGGGCCTGAACTCTGGGCCTGGTCACTGTCCCTCAGCTCTTCAGCTCAAGGCTAGCGCTCTACCACTTGAATCACAGCGCCACTTCCGTCTTTTTTCTATTTTCTTTATGTAGTGCTGAGGAATTGAACCCAGGGCCTCAGGCTTGCAAGGCAAGCGCTCTACCACTGAGCCACCTTCTCAGCCCCCATCCATGAGACTCTTATCTCCAATAAACCACTCAGAAAACTGGAAGTGTCACTGTGGTTCAAGTGGTATAGTGCTCGCCTTGAGCTGAAGAGCTAAGGGACAGTGCCCAGGCCCAGAGTTCAAGCCCCGCGACAGACAGAAAAATACAAAAAGCAAAAAAACTGATGTACAGAGCTATATACATGCATACACATAAAATAAGATATATGCAGGGGTGAGATTCCATGGTGTCACTCCTTTGAACAATTAACAGTTTAACAAAACAACAATGGTATTTGTTGTTGTTGTTGGTGGTGGTGGTGGTGGTGGTGGTTGTGAAGCTTGAACTCTGGGCCTGGGTGCTGTCCCCGAGCTCTTCAGCTCAAGGTGAATGCTCTACCACTTGAGCCACAGTGCCACTTCCAGGCATGGGAAATTTTAACCCCAATGTCTGGTCATGGATATATTACACTATCCTCTCATTTCTCTAATTCATTCCCTGCAATCATTTCAGCTCACCCCAGCCTGCTGGCTCAGTTCACCTGTTCACACACAAACAGCACAGCATCACCAACGTTTTGAATGAGGGGAAGAAAACATTTCCTTATACTTTAAAAACATTAATACATTCTAACTCAAAAATGATAGAACTAGCTCTAATATTTTCTTGTAGTTAAATGAACACAACTTTTATTTTAAAAATCAGAAACCACCTTAGAAACAATGAAAGGCAACTTAATATTCAGTTGACTGTTAGACTTGGAAAGCTGCAAATGAGTTATTCTTACCTCTACTTTTGTTCGATAAAGAATGAGTCGTTTCAGGCTGCATAATTTGGCAATGTGGTTGAAAGCTTGAGGTGGCAGTTTATCACATGATGAGAGATTTAAGTCCTGGAGATTTGGACACATCTCAGAAATAACTTCCAAGCAGGTTTCATTAAGGAAGTGGCTGCAAGACAGTTCAAGACGTACTAATTCAGATCCGCAACCCTTCAGAAACCTGTGAAAACAATACTCCATGTGAATTTCATAAAATTCAAACACATTTTTCTAAGAACTCTGAAATTCTATCACCTCTTAGCAAACATGTTTAGAAAAAATGTATTTCTATTAGAGAAAATATAACTTGTTTCGCTTAAATTTCCATTCACTGCATACTGAAAGATTCATGGTTAGGCTAAAATAAATCAACTTGAGAAGATAAAATGGATTTGCATTATATAAAGTCAGATAATGCTAACTGGAAAGTTCAAAAAGCAAAATACATACTTTTACTTACCTGTAACTTACTCCTGAGTTGGTAAACCAAAAAAATAAAACTATAAACTCTTCAAGAAAACTTCCCCCTAAAATGTCCCTACTCGTTAGTGGGTAGTGCATTTTGCATGCTGCATACAAAATGACAGCTTTAATTAAATGATCTCAAAACATTCAACTAGCTTTTACTCAATTCAGAAAATTTCTAATTGGTTTAAATGCCGTTATCATTTAGTGACTGACCTGCTTGCTGTTGAAACCATTATGAAACATTCGATTGTAGTTTCTCATAAAATATGTAAGAATACTCTAAAATGAAGGACACAAAATGCTTGAAACCAGAGTACTTATCATAATTACAATTGGAAGAAAAACAGTTCTGTCCATAAACTATCACCTGAAAACAATCTAAAAGTAAACATGAATCTAGGAGTGTTTGAATCTATGAACTTTTATTAGCTAACTAAGCAAGTCAAATTGCAAACAATGCACCAATTATTCCAGCCTGGGTCTCTTGACATAACCTTGACGTTGGTGCCATGTCAGCAATATTAGCACTATTAATTTATGACGTAGCATTTTTCTCACATAATTTGAAGAGCTGACAACGATATACAAAATATAGTTGAAATAAATCATATCACTTGTGTAAATAAAGGAACACTAAACTAGAAGTCAAAAGATGGATCCACCCCCTTACCTCTGCCTAGCAATGATGTGGGAACAAACATTCACCCTTGTCTCAGCATTTCCCCTGCTGTAAAAGTCAGACTTGAACAGCACTGGACAGCGCCAGCCTTGTGGTTTTTCACTATCAAACAGTATGTGGAAGCAGTTTGCAAAGGTCAAAGTGCCCAAACATATTCAAATATAGGTTAAATATTAACTAGCATAAATGTAAACAATAACAAAATTAGTTGTTATAGGTTCAATTACTGCAAATAACCCAGTAGATCATACATATTATTTACAGCTGAACTTTTTTTTTTGGGGGGGGCAGGTGGTTCTGGGTCTTAAATTGGTCGTGGGCCTGGGTGCTGTTTCCTAGCTCTTTTTGCTCTAGGCTACCACTCTACTACTCAAGCCACCGTACCACTTTTGGCTTTTTCTGCGATTAATTGGAGATATGACTCTCGTGAACTTTCCTGCCCTGGATGGCTTTGAACCACGATCCTCAGATCTCAGCTTCCTGAGTAGCTAGTGCTACCAGAACCCGCCCGGATGAACACTTATTTTTAATTATTTGCAGCCTGTGTTCTGTTTTCCCTGAATTCACTTTTAACTACTAAATTCAATGGACTCTCTTCATCAGTATTTATATTATGTGATTTATTTGTGACATTTCACATGACTGCCCATGCCTTCCTTAGAAAGGTGATCGATGGCTCTCACTCCTGTGATTCTCACTCCTTGATCTTCTCAATGAGTTCTCACCACTATTTCCTATGCCTGCTGAATGAGCTAAACGGCACTGTACATGGAGTACATTCATTCATTTAAGCATGCCACTCATTTATTGAGTTCCACTCTTATGCAAGCAGTGAAAGTACTAAGAATATAGCAGTAGACAAAAAGTAGTCCCAACTTTCACGAAGCTTACATTCTGGTGAAAGAGGGAGACTAGAAACAAATGAGTAAAATAAATAGTGACAGTGAGAGAGTGAAAAGAACCTGAAGTGAAAGGATGAGCAAAGCAGATGTTGGGAGGAAGAACATTACAAGCAAAGGGAGGGGCGAGTACCTTCCTGGACAGGATGACAAACAGAGCAAGGAAGAGTAAGGAAGCTGATTCAGAAGGGACAATGTGAGGGGGAATGAACAAATCAGAGGCTGGTTGGAAGTTTAATACCACTAAGAAGACTTGGATTTTTATTTTGGATAGGATTCTGAATCACAAAAGGTTTTGAGTAGAGCAAGGACACCACTTCCTTGTGTTTTGTTAGAATCACCCTGGGTTTTTGTGTAAACTAATTTAAAGCAATAAGAATGAAATTAGGGGAATCATTTCAACGTTCAGGGCAGAAGATAGGACCCTGGACCAACTGATAACACCAAATGTGGTAGCAAACTGTCTGGATCTGGACCAAAATATGACATATCTCTCACATACTGAATAGAACTCTAGCATTATCCCATTATAATTTTCCTTTAGCCTGAATTTCTTTATTTATCATTATTTTATATTTGGTTTATAAGCTGCTTCAACGCCTTTGGCAACTGAAAGAGATCCTCATTGCACACAGAACTTGCTATGACATCAGATAATCCATTTGAGGATAGTCAGTTGAGTGAATGAGCTTTTCCAGATTCAAAATTCATTCATAAATTATTTTTCCTCTGTTTTTGAACAAAGTTCTAGTGATTAAAGCTATTTTTTTCTTAATAGGGTCAATCTATTCTCAAGAAATATGATGAAAACAACATTTTTATCTTACTTTTAATATGTAAGTAATTGTGGTGAGTTCATTATTTATAAGCTAGAAATATGAAAATGAATATAGTTATAAGAGTTAACAAATGCCCTATTTTTATTTGATAATTCAAACTTATTTATATATTACAAAAGTTAAATGAGCATATTAACACTCTTAGAATTGAAAGCTTTAGGCATCTTATCTCTTTATGGCCTTTATTATTTGGCAAAGCACTTTGATCTACATTTCTTTTTCATATCTGACTTAGAATGACTTGAAATTCCTTTTTCCTTTCATTATTGAACTTTTCTCCTGCAAAGAATTTATAGAGTACTGTCAAGCTAGTCACCAGGAAGCCAACTGTTAAGAGATAGAAGAAAACTTCCAAGTTGATTTAATGAATGATAGAATTTCAAAGTACAATAAAGACAATGACCATAACCATACTGCCTTCTCATTTTTTCTTCTTTACTCTCAGGAAAGAAGAATACTGTGCATTTTCACTCTGAGAAGATTATTTGGTCAATATATGTCCATGATCTCTTCCTAACTTCCAAGTTCTGTACTACTTCCCTTTTCATAATATCTCTATCCCAAGAAGGCAGAAATAGCAGTTGACTGTGTAGTCAAACAGAAACCATTTCTTTCCTTATTGGACCACAGTTACATACATAGTTGTATTGTTATTCAACTAGTAATTCATCTTAACCATGGTGTCTCACAAAAGAAAAACTACAGCTTCTATATTTTCTGAAGCCTAGTCATTCTACACTATAAATTCTCATGAAGTACTTCCTGATATTGAAGTTTTTATGAGACCTAAGTTCAGATAAACAATCCTGAACTACATCTTCTACTATGAGGAAAAGGAGTCTCTGAAGAGAGAAATAAATTACTTATCCTCATGAGGTAAATTAATTTGTCCAAAGGAATACAAGTACATAAGAAGTAATTTACTAAATGGTAACTTGCACCCTAAAATAATTAACATCACATGAATGAGTGATTTGATCTGAGTTTACTCATCACAAATAGTAATCCTTAACAACCTGCCTCAAGCATAAAGGTAAGGGGAGAATTAGATGTAAATATCCATGGCTTCTGATTCCTAATCTTGTACTTTGTGACCTGATCCCACTGAGTTTTACAAAACAGTGTATTTAAGTAATTTTAATTCAAAATAACTTGGAACATTATTTAATATGTGGTCCATAATAGAGCCATTAAAAAACTCCTTGCTTTTCTATGGCACTATCTAGCAATGCTAGAAAGAGGGGAAAAGAAAGTTTTACAGTTGTTTCTATTTTCTTTGCGTTGATGATCTGATATACAAAATCTAAAAGATAGGCAGGCAACTAAATAAATATATGGATGGGCAATAAATTCCTTACACTACAAAACTGACAAAAATATCTAATAATGTTCTTGAGTCTAGAAACAATCCAGGAATATTTCCTGAAAAAAAAGAATCAAAACTACTTAAGGTAAGTAGAAGGGTCAAAGGTAAAAACTCACATATAACTGAGGTAGAACTCAGAGTGATTCAACACTGTGAAGAAAAATGGCACTGTTAAAGTGGACTTAAGACTTTTTGAACAGAATTATGTGACTTAGCACAAGCAGACAAGGAGGCAAAGACATATCCAAAAGAAATGTATTATGAAAAAGGAATTATAATTGATGTGATTTTAATGAGTAATGAAATATATAGCAGTGAATAGTCAAGTCACAAATCTGTGGCTGCTATAGGATTTTAATAACTGATTAAAAGTTTTAAGTTCTCTTTATTTCAATTGAATCTACTCCTTGGCTATTCTAAAAATAAAAATGCTAAGAAGTTCTTTAAAATCCAGTCAAACAGTTCTAACTTGTAAGGATAAGACTTTTTAGGCAGTGAAAGTAAACTATATAAAACTTTCCCAAAGACCTGCTCAAAAACAAGCAGCTTATCATCATTGGTCTCTAGTTTTAAAATACCTTTTCTTTTAAGTATTATAAATAAGTCTTCTTCATAGTAATGAGCATAAATAGACCATACTTATTCATAGATTATTCATTAATAATCAAGCCATGAATATTTATTGTTTATTCTGGGACTGCTGCCTACAAGCCATAATGACTGTCAATTCAGAGTCAAGTCAAGGGGCCCACAGCAATCAGCAGGCAAAATTCCAATATGCCCCCACCCACTAAATTTTTTCTCTCTCTTTAAACTTTCTCTTCTTAATAAAAACAGTGACTATGCTTAAATGAATGCTAGCAAAATTTATGGTCTTACTGGCTGATATATTACAGCAAAATATGGAAAAGTTAAATTTATGTATGTGCTTTTGTGATTATTCAAACAGCCCCACAGCGACTAACCTCGATGAATTGAAAAGTGGAAGAGGAATTGCTAGTGAAAAAGTGGATTGGAGCTCTAACTTTGCAAAAGAAGATCTTTATCCATTACCATTCTAAATTTTAAAAGACAGCACTATTGTTATCTTCCCACACTGTTTCTTCACATGCATCTGAGTAAGCCACATACAAGTGTTTTGTTTTTTTTTAATTGGATGAATGTTTGACATTTTCCTCATTGCTGTCATGATTTTACGTGGCACTTTGCCCAAGAAGCTGAACTTCAGCCATTCACTACAAATGCTTTTTTCTTTTAATTTTATAACATTTTTAAAATTTAATTTTATTGTCAAGGTGATGTACAAGGTGATGTATATAAGGTAGTGAGTACATTTCTTGTCAAACTTGTTACCCCCCATTTTTCTCCCACTTTCCACTGCTTTAACTGTTAGTTCCTACCTGTTATTTTACTTATAAAAATATGTAAAGGAAATGTTTACATGTTTATCTTTGTATCTTTATCTTCTCTGTAGAAGCAAGGAACTGCATAGTATAACTCAAATATATGTTACATGGTCCAAGGGATATGTAAAAGCATAAAAGCAAATAATAAATTAACAAACAAAAGACAAGTAAATTCTTCAACAGTGGAAAACACTGGGGAAAGAGCTCTATGTGTAGTTAAATGTCTGGAAGTGATAATATAAAATGAAAAATAATTTTCACTGATATCACTTGTTCTGTCTCATATTCATTTTGCTGTGGTTTATGAATCAATAGACATGCTCTCAATATTCAGCTATAATCAAATTCAATTCTCCTTGGTTTTATTTTTTTTAATTTTTTTAAATTTTTTTTTGGGTCCGGTCGTGGGGCCTGAACTCTGGGCCTGGGTGCTGTCCCTCAGCTCTTCAGCTCAAGGCTAGCGCTCTACCACTTGAGCCACAGCGCCACTTCCGGCTTATTTCTTATGTGGTGCTGAGAAATCGAACCCAGGGCCTCGAGCATGCAAGGCAAGTGCTCTACCACTGAGCCACCTTCCCAGCCCCTCTCCTTGGTTTTATTAGAATAAAAATTGTAGTTAAAGTGTTTGTTCTGGTAGGGAGAGAAGCAGAAAGGACTAATTGGTGGGATTCAGATGATAGCATAGTACGGAATGTATTTTGACCTGAAGTATTTTGAACTGAAGGACACTAAATGGTCTCAAAGCAGCTTCAGAACCAAGGTTTCCTTGACTTTTCTGCCCTCAAATCCCTTTGAGATTTGAGAATTCTTCTTCCTCAAAGACAGGTCATAAAAACTAGATCTTTGTTTCCAACAAAGCCTAAACATATTTTAACCTTCACTTGCTTTTGTGCTTAAGAACTGGCAATAAAGAAATTCTGACTGATCACTGCCCAATAGGTCATAAGGCCCTTATCCAGAGGAATCCTGCCCCATATTCAGAAGGAAGACATGCTGCTACAGAGTGGCCAAGATGACTCTGAAGAGGAAAATCTTGCTAGGCTTCCCCACTCAGTCTATACTATTAGATCACACATTTTTGGTCCAATCATATCTCTAATTTCCTGTCCTTGCCTCACCAAACCTAAGTGTAACATCAGGTAACTTCTCTTTCATCCTTGAGTCTTCATTCTGAAGGATCTTGTACCATGTAAAACTGTGTTTAAGTAAACTTGTTAACCTTTTTTCTTGTTAACCTGTCTTTTGATATAGGGGTTTCAGCCATGACCTTTATGATAGAGAGGAAAGGGGTCACTATGTCTCTGAACCTACAAAAGTGTTCCATTGGGCAAATGTCACTTTTCTAGCAATATATCCTGTCCCATGGATCTATTTCCGGCAGAAAAGAAACCAAGCACACCCAAGATATGCTGTGGGCCATTCCTGCTTGTGTTTGTTTTAATTTGATGCATGTTAATATCTTGTCTTGAATGTCAATGTTGATGTATTGAACACATTGTTACCAATGCACATATTATGAGTTCATTCAAGTTATTTCTTTCTAGAACGTTATCTTTGTTTCATTATATGAGCCACAAGGAAATAAAGATCCATATACAAATTTATAATTTATAGATAACTATACAAAAATGAGTTTATCCGAAATATGTGTTGTTCCCTTTCAGTTTGCAAAAACAGTATAAAATAGTAATTAAGTAGCAAGTAATTTCCCCAAAGTTTCTAGTTCATTATCTAACTTCATGAAAATTATGGGATTGTAAAAATGTACAATGAGAATCACTACCATCAAGGTTAAGAGAAAAACACCTGTTTGTATCATAAGAAAAACTACTGTGGCATTACTAAATGAATATGCACTTATGCAAGCTTTCAAATGTTTAACAGGTGACATTTAATAGTAAGGAAACTAAATGCTTAAATAGAAAGGAGCAGAAAACACCTGGGCAGGTCTGCAAGTGTGGTCGTCTAGTTAGCATGCAATTGCATTTTCAACATAATTAGTTTAAATGAGCTTCTAAATTTGGGTGATGTATTGCACATGTAATTAAGATTTAATTAAAAATGTTCTGTAATAAATTGTTTTCCATTTCTGACAAATCACATTAGAGAGGTAGATTTTGATTTGGAAATAGTTTTTTGTTTAATGTGTTAATCATCTGTGCTGGAAAGATGAGAAAGGAAAAAAAGGAGTTCTGTTGAAAGTCACTTGAGATTTAAAAAATAAGAGGTGAATGTATAGTTTCACTTCTTGTAATTATGAAGTTCAACTGGAGAAGATGGAAAAACTCATTGGATTTTATCAGCAGTACCATTTTAAATAGTAGCTGTATTTCTTACTTATTTCTATAAAATATATAGTACACAATTAAATTTTTTTTATTATGAAAACTCTCATATAACAAGTATGGTCTGCTTATGAAAGCACTGTCTACAAAATGTAGACATTTTGTACTAACCTGCTAAATCCTGCAACAGAGATGAAGCCCCTATTGCCAGTCCAGGATAAATTGAGCCATTGGACAAGAGTGCATCGAGTCTGCAGAAATTCTAGAGAAGTGTCATTTACTTTTGCCCAGTAAGGTTGCAAATTGAGGTGGATGTATTGTAGAGGATCACAGCAATGCTGGTTCAGCAGTTTGCAAGTCTGTGCTAATCTACACAGGTCAGGTAATGTAAGATGATTCAGAATCAGTTGAATAAGCTACACAAAAGAAAGAAAGAAAATCAATCATGAGTGAAAAACAGTATCATTTCATTAAGCGCATAGTATGGTCTAATAAAAAACAATGCCACTTCTAATAATATTTTCATATACTAAACTAACATTCACCAAAATTATCCAAATGGAAAGAAACCATAAATACATGACTGTACTGCATTTCAAGATGGTTGAAATATTCAATTCATGTTGATAGCTCATTTTCTTAGGATACAAAGATATTTTTATAATCTGCTAAATAATAATTTATTTCCAGACTCAATATTTACTGTATGGCAAACTTTGGTAACACAGAAAAAAACTTTCCACTCTCAATATTCTTAGAATTCAAGGGAAATAAAGTATATTTGTTAAGTGAGGGAAATCAAGTATATTTGTATCAAGTATATTTAGGTAAGAGAGGTTAAAATTTTAATGTAGGCATTTAGTTTTTATTCTACAATTATGCTCATTAATATCAATGACCTTCAGTTTGCTTTCTCAGCTCAGTTTAGTCCAAATCCTCTTATAAATTTTCTTTGTAGTAACTTTCCATCTACTGACCCCTAAACTGTTCACTGACTTGTTCCCACTTGGCTCTGATGTATTTGCAGTTGAGACCAATCTTTCTCTCCAAGTGCAAAATCCCATTCCATGGTCTCTATCTGTACAACTATAACTCTGTTGACATGTAAAATACTGCACAAACAAAAAGAAGACCAAACACTGAAGAAAGGTAAAAAACAAGTTTTTTATTCTCTTCCCTCAATTCTAATTCTTCCTTCTCTCCACAGATAAGTACCATTAACAGTTTTTGTAATATCGTCTGATAAATGTTTGTGAATTTCTTCGACACGTATCTATTCTTAGATATGCACTAAAAGAAAATGTACCTGGTTCCACATCCTTCTTTTCTCATTTAATGATACACATTGTAGATCTCTATCTACACAAATAGACCCACCTCATTCCATTTTGCTAATGTGACATAACTTATTGATGTATTTTCTTTTTTCCTATTGCAAATAATATTGCACTATCATTCTGTGTATGTATTAGTTATATATGTTCATCTCAGAAAACTGAAAATATATCTTTAGAATAGATTATATGCATTTAAACGTTTTGACATAAGCACAAAATTGCTCTTCTAAATATTCCATCAATTTATCTTTCAGCAATCAGTATATAAAATTGCCATTCACCTACATACTAGACAATAATGACATCAAAACGTTATCATTTGGTGGCAAAGCAAAAAAAAAAAAAAAACAACCATGGGAAATGTATAAAACCATTCTTCCCCTTCTGCTCCTTATTTTTTAATATTTTTATTTTTTCTAGATTACAGAAATTTAACCTTTGCCAAAATTTCCCTATTAGTCTCTATTACACAATTCTATTGTTTTATTTATGAATTCTACCATTTCTTTCTTTCTGCCTGCCTGCCTTCCTTCCTTTCTTTTTGTTGGTTGTGGGGCTTGAACTTGAACTCTGGGCTTGGGCACTATCCCTCAGCTCTTCAGCTCAAGACGAGCACTCTATCGCTTGAGCCACAGCGCCACTTGCCATTTTCCAATGGTTTATTGGAGATAAGAGTCTCATGGACTTACCTGCCCAGGCTGACTTTGAACTGTGATCCTTAGATCTCAGCCTCCTGAGTAGCTAGGATTACAAGCGTGAGCCACCAGCGCTTGAATTAATTCTACCATTTCAAAATCTAGGTAAAATAAATTTCTAAATTTTTAACATTGTATTTATTGGAATATGCTGATTGACTACAAATGAAAATCATGACTAATACCACCACCACGCTATCATTCTTTACCAGAATTTTCTTGATTATTTTAACTTTTTAGGCTAATTTTTCAATAAAAATTCTGCTAGTGTTTAAAGCTGGAGCTTACTGAATATACAGTTACTTTAAGGAAAACTAACACTTTTGTTTTACTGTGTCTTGCTACTGAAGGGCATATAGTATGACTTACTGCTTAACAAATTTTTAAGCTTCCAAAGAAGTAATCCATTCTCCAAGTGATCTGTTTCTACTACTTCTAAGCTAGATCCTAGACCCCAAGAAACTACACTATCAGTGTCCCATGATCCTCTCTCCCAATTCTCCTTCTTTCCTCCTCCCCATTAAGTGTCCAAACTGTTATCATTTCATGCAAGTTAAGGTACTGTTACTGTAGTAAAATGTGAAGGGGATTTCTAGGTTGGTTAAAATTTGGATAAATTTCTCATTAAAAATGAGATTATACCATCTTTAGCAACACGGTAGTTTTCAGTGGGAGACATAAATGCTTGGTTCTTTTTCCCCTTACCCCTTCCTGGATATTTGGAAAGGGTAAGGAGAGGTTTTGGAGACACATAACTAAGGAATACTACTAACATTTGATGTCCTGGAGACAGAAGTGATAAATATACTACTGAAGGACTTCCATAGAGACACACTGAAAACAAGACTTCAGACTAGGCACTCAGTACTGGCCTAGTCCAAAAATTAAGTTAAGCAAATATAGACTAGCATTGGTTCTAAGAGAATTCAATGTATATCCTACAAAATTAAGAAGAGTAAGGGAGGAGGTGGGTAGGAAAATGATGGGTGAGAATGTTGAAAGAGGTAACATTAAGATGCATTGTAGAAGGTCACCGGTGGCTCACGCATGTAATCCTAGCTACTCAGGAGGTGGAGATCTGAGGATTGTGGTTCAAAGCCAGTCTGGGCAGGAAAGTCCATGAAACTCTTATCTCCAATAAACCACCAAAAAAATGGAAGTGTCACTGTAGCTCAAGAGGTAGAGCGCTAGCCTTGAGCTGAAGAGCTGAGGGACAGCGCTCAAGCCCAGAGTTCAAGCCCCATGCTCGACAAAAAAAAA